CTTCGGTCGGGGACCCAGAACCGGTTAGTAGTTCCGGGCCCCCGAGAGGTAAATCTTGCTGCAACAAGGGCTAGATCTTTCTCAGTGGCGGCCCCTACCTGGTGGAATGAGCTCCCGGAAGAGATCAGGGCCCTGCGGGACCTTATGCAGTTCCGCAGGGCCTGTAAGACGGAGCTCTTCCACCAGGCCTTTACGTAGGGGCCGCCGCTGCCACCACCACTACCAACGGTGGTGATACTATCTAAGTCAGGAGTGCCCTTGGAATTCAGCGATATGAGATCTATGTGACAATGAGAGCAGCGGACAGGCTCGGACTATCTATTGGACAGTGATACCCAACTGTGGGTTGCTGGACGCCGCCACTACAACAACTTAAGATCTTGACAATGGAAGCACTTTATTGTTAAATGTAATGTGTTGATTATAATTTTTATGGTTTTATTGGTTTTTATGTATAGGCTTATGCCCTTTGTAAGCCGCCCTGAGCCCGCTTGCGGGGAGGGCGGGGTAAAAATGTCTAAATAAATAAAATAAATAATAAATAAGATGTATAAGCAGAGCTATTTGATAACAATGCAATTAATTCAAAGGCCTCTAGAAAAAAATATGCACACAATACGCTGAGTTCAGACTGGCAGTTTGGCCCAATATAGGCACATTTCAGAAACGTTTCACAAACGGATTAAAGGGGCCGTTCACACAGGAACATCTGTCAGGCGTTCCCCAGCTGTACTCAACCCGTCTTGTAACGTTCCCTCCCGAGTTTAAAAGATACCAGGTGAAAGTGGTAGCAAACCCTGGAGAGCACGTTCATTCCACTTCCCGGATGCGTGCATGCTACAAGCTGTGCGAACAAACTGCATTGATAATTGCTGATGCAAATATGCGCATAGGTACATGTTCTGTAGTGAGAAAAAGCCAGTTACAGCCGCGCATCCGGGCCAACAGTGTGAACACTCCCTTGTGGCTCCTCCTGGTATGCTCCCATATCAGTCGGTGCAGTGTGACCGGGAATACCCAGAACAAGTTGTTCCTGGTCTTTTTTGCCATGACTCCCTCGTGCTTCAAACTGCCAGTCTGACCTCAGCCATAATCAGAACAACTTGAATCAAATAGAAAATGGTCCTAAGACGTAGGCTGCGGTCTCACACACACACACTAAATAATCCACTTTCAATGCACTTTCCAACTGGATTTTACCGTGGTCTTTTCTACATTTGCCCACCACTCTGGATTTTCTCAGAGTTTGAGTGGAGGCAATTTAAGTCCATGGCAAAACAGCATCCAAATAACCTGAGGCAACAGCAGGCTGAAAGCTGACCACTGAAGGGAGGGAATGTAAGGCAGAATGGGGGGGGGGTGAGAGACCTGGATTAAAAAGAAGGTTGAATTCGATTTTAGTGCAGAAGAGGGAGTTCCAAAGTTTTGGTGCCACAATCAAAACGGCCCTTTCTCAGGTCACCACCCATTTGTCCTCAGATGATAGAGACAACCAAAGCAGGGCCTCCAAGGATGACTGGAGTGAGCAGGAAGGTTTGTATCAGAGAAGGTCCCCTTTAAGATATGTGAGTCCTAGGGAACTGAGCCCGGAAGCAAGCTGGAAGCCAATGTAAGTGAAACGCTAGTCAACCCTCTGGCTGCAACATTCTGCACCAACTTTAGCTTTCAGACAGTCTTCAAGGGCAGCCCCATGTAGATTGCATTGCAGTAATCTAATCTAGATAGTACCAGGACATGCTCCACAGTGGCAAAATCCTTTATTCCCAGGAAGCGCTGAAGTTGTCTCACCAGCCAAAGCTGCTGAAAGGCACCCCTGGCCACCACTGCCACCTGTTTATGCAACAAGAGACCCAGGTCCAGGAACACCCCCAAGCTACAAACCTGTTCCTTTAGGAGGAGTACAACCCTATTCAAAACAGGGTCATTCCCTCATCCATTTCCCGCATCAGACCTCCCCCCCACACCAGTAGCACCTTCATTTTGTCAGGATTCAGTTTCAGCTTTTTAGCCCTTTTCATTCCAAAATTGCCTCCAGGCACCTGTTCACAGTTTCCACAGCCTCTCTGGGATCTGATAGTAGCTGAGTGTCATCTGCATATTGGTGGCAGCTCACTACAAATCTCCAAATTTAAAATGCATAATATTATTTCTTGTGCCACAAAATTATTCACCTGTTCAAGATTCTGAAGTCTGCCTTCAATATTCACAATCTACAGCAGAAATAAAAAGGACAAGATAAATTGTCAAAATTAGTAAAGAGGATGATGTCACAATGACTTGATAGGCACATACCAGTTTAAATTTGCCAAGCTGTGATGCATATCTATTAAGACCTCTGGACTATCTAATAAGCTTCTTACCAGGAAGGCTAGAAAGTATTCCGCTTACACTGACAATTCAGCAGAGGGATTAAGAAGTAACCCACAATGAAGATTTCCTCCATTATCTCAGTACTTCTGTTTTTGCCTTAGACCCTTGTTAAGATGGGGGAGGACATAATTCAGTGTAAATAACTCACAGGTTCCAGCAGGAAAGACTTAAGTACATGCTTAATAGCTGTTTGCTATTAAAGCAGAGAGTTGGATCCTGCCTCTGCCCACACAAGGGAGGCTTGATCCCCTCCATGGCAGACCACCAATCCACCCAACTGAATTCTGGGGTTCCCCCATAACACAGGAACAGCATTTGAGGGAGGCATTTTGGGCTGCTGCAGCAAGTTGTGCTTCTGTGGATGAAAATCCTTCCACCCATGGAAATTGTAGGCTCGATCCAGCCCAAAGGCCCTTACAAGTCCTAATTTCAACACAATTGGTTTATTAATGAACCAAATATGTCACTGAATTTAAAAACTGGATTGACATATTTGTCATTCATCTAGCTAGGACTTGGGATTCACTTGGGAAAACTACTTAGCACTGAAATGTGTGACAAATGATAAGATTAGAAACTGGGATTTAAAATGTAACCAGCTGAAATAACCCCTGACTAGAATTTCCTGGGCATGTTTTGAAGAAAGCAACATTCATAATCAATTGTAATGGGTGACTGAGACAATAGATGTTTGCAAGTGCCAAAGAAGTGAGGAGAATTTCACAGAAACTAGGTATGATGATCTTAGGGTTGCCAGGTCTGGGTTGGAAAATACCTGGAGACTTTGGGGGTGGAGCCAGGAGAGGGCGGGGTTTGGGAAGGGGAGGGGCCTCAGCACGGTACCATGCCATAGAGTTCACCCTTCAAAGCAGCCATTTTCTCCAGGGGAGCTGATCTCTGTCAGCTGGAGATCAGTTGTAAAAGCGGGAGATCCCCAGTCCCCACCTGGAGGCTGGCAACCCTAGATGATCTGCCATTGTTTACCGTTTACACTGCAACTGTTCTGGGCCCTGATTCAGATCGGGGCCATAGTACAAGGGGAGAAGGAATTAACATTTCAGCCACATAATTTCCATGCTCTGATTCCAGGTGCTCTGTGGGAAGTGGTATGTGGGTGCCTCTGACTTCTTGTATATGGCTTTACACACCATTGTGTAATGTTTTATCCTGACCTGGTTTATAGAGAAATCTGGACCATGAGTAATCATCTTCTGAAAAGTTATCGCTGGGGGTCCTAATTAATTATACCAACTTGATGTTCAGTGCTTTGGTCAGGTAAGTTGTAATTTTAACAAATACATTGTATGGTGTGTATTGTACAAATGTAAACCACCGAGGAAGGCCTCATAGCTGAAATGCATCTGGTGTACATGTATGTTATGTTATTAATAACAGTACCTGGTCATAAGAATGTTTGCAATCTGTGACATCCCCATCCGTAGAACTAATTTTACTAAAATGCTTTTTTTTTTAAACACTAAGGGGAGGTACCTATATACATAACGAAAACTGATGGATTTTTATTCATAGTTTTTAATATTGACAGTTTTATTAAAGATCCTGTGATTTAATATAATTTTAGTTTTGTTAATTGACCTTGATATTTCTACATAAAAGTTTAGTATCAACTTTTTACATAAAAGTTTAGTATCAACTTTTTACATAAAAGTTTAGTATCAACTTTTTACATAAAAGTTTAGTATCACAAATCTCTTGTTTAGTATCAACATTATTTATAAATATCACAGCACTCTGTTCAGTAGCTTAACATGCAGGTTTTCCAACCAGTCCAGAACATAAAACAAAACTTTCTTGGTCAGAGAAGGCAGCTAGTCTGTCCCCAGCCCCCACACACAAAGGGCATGGGAAATATATTGTAGGAATTATGACTCACCTTGGAATGAAGATAGGTGACCTGACTGGAAACATTTTGAGGGATGTTGGTGAATCTTTTTAGTTCAAGAATCTCATCTTTATTCTTTCTGATCTAAAAGTTCAAAGAAAAAGATAGTACCACTGTTTTTTGAAGTATAAAGAATGAATACATATTTCATGGAGGCTTAAGCAGCTGCTAATAAGAACCATAAACCCAAAACACTAATGCTGAGGTCAGATCATAGAACCTACGGCAAACAGGCAAGTTTATCTCAAAGGGGCTTTCTATTCTATAATAAAATAAATGCTACAATTGCATTCAATCTTCTGTGTGATATTTCTGCAAGTCTTCCCCCCGACAATGTTATAGTTTATTCTATGCTGGTTTTCGGACAGTACAAGCAGCCAGTGCCCTAACTTGTAAGGGTAGAAAGGTGAGAGATAAGTTTTGTAAATAAATAATAATAATAATAATAATAATAATAATTATTATTATTAATAATAATAATAATAATAATAATATTTATTTAGTAAAATACAATCTTGATTCACTAGAGCACAAGAGCACTGGAAACAATACATCAAAACACTACCGAGCATAACAGAACAAGGAAATCTCCTAGAACTTTGTAACAGAGGCTGCCCATGGCACATTTTATCACATTTCTCCCCACCCATCACACCCCAGTTCTCGGCTCACCCATTTTCTCATAGTTTGTCAGACCTTTTAACTCTTTGTCTCCCAGCTGGGTGTGTTTCACTTTGACCTATCCTGTAATTGGGTTTGAGCCCCCATGTGTGCTGCCTTGTACTCTTCTTCAGTCATGCCAAAGCGCACCCCCCCACACACACATTTTATGGCCCAACTCAGTATATCAAAACATCCCTAGCAGGTGGGCAAATGATTATCTTCACTCTATTTGTCTTCATAAAGGAAAACTCCTCTCCTCCTTAAATCTGAGTTTATTGCTTTGTTCCCTGGAAATAATGTTTTCTCTGTGATCAGGGCCTTCTAGAGTGTTAACTGAGGTAACCTGCATTCCCTCATCACAACAACTCCAACAGCTACAAAATGATCACAGTGGAGAGAGTGGAAGCATGATCACGGCAGAGGGAGGGGGGTATTGATTCTCAAATAATATCTCATAGGTGAGCATATGACGCTGCCTTGTTACCAGATCAGAACACTGATAGCTCTCCGTTAAATTAATACTGTCTACTCTGACTCGCATAGGTTTGCCAACTGTGGCTTAGGAATTTCCTCGAGATTGGGGAGGGCCTGAGGAGGGGAGGGAGCTTGTTGGGTGGAACGGGATGCCAAAGAACCTACCCTCTGAAGCTGCCATTTCCTCTAAAGGAACTGATCTCTGGCATCTGGGAACCAGTTGTACTTTTAGGAGAATTACAAGCCCCACCTGGAGGCTGGCAACTCTAGCAGCTCTCCAGGGTCTCAGGAAGAGAATGCATTTTACAAACACTTATTAACCTCTAAGCAGATATACGAGGGAGTGAACCTGGGACCTTTTGCATGGAAAGCATGTGCTGTCTCCCTGAGCTATGGCCCTTCTCCACAATGCATGCAGGTGATGTGTTTTCTGGAACAACAACTGCATTGTCCCATATATAAAATATTGCCTAAAAGCTGGGAAATATACCATTGTCACAACAGAAATGCATCTTCAAGAGAAAATGTGTCAATCCACAAATAAACTTATCACATGAAAAGGTCTGAAGGGGACATAATAGCTGGCATGTTTGCTCTGCCACAGAGAAACTTGGCATCACTGCTGAAATATGATGTTATTCAAGCTCAGTGAGATAACACATAATTGTATAAGGACCATAAAATAAGTAGCATAAAAAGTGAATTTATGTAAAGATGAAAAGATAAGTACCATAAAATACTTATCATTTCATCTTTACATAAGTCCACATTTTACAGCACTGCAATCACTTACCTCTTCAATAAAATAGACAGTAGCTATCAAAGAGCCATTTTAAAAAACCTCATTTTGCCACTTTAGATGGAAGGGAGAAAGGTGAAAGAAGATTCAGAATAAAGGGTGTAGACTTTCCAATTTCCCGGGGGGGGGGGGCTGGGGCTGGGCCAGAGGCATTGCTTTGCTAGGAGCAAGGGTGGCTCCCGGGGGAGGCTGAGCACTTTCCTGAAAATTTCGGCGGAGGCTGACGCCCCGACGCCCCCACGAAGATTACGCCTATGAGAGAGTCTGGGCTTTCATACGTTGGTCACATTATGAGAAGACAAGACTCACCAGAAAAGACAATAATGCTAGAAAAAGCTGACGGCAGCAGGAAAAGTGGAAGACCCAACATGAGATGGACGGACTCAATCAAGCAAGACCTGAGCAAGGCTGTTAATTATAAGGCATTTTGGAGAACATTAATTCATACAGTCAGCATAAGCCAGAAGCACTTGGCAGCACGTAGCACATACAGAGAGAGAGATTCTGTGCTTATCTACATGTACCCTGTAAAGAACCCTGAACCCAAAGGAGTAGCCTGCAGATTGCATCTGCAGAGGCCAGCAGCCCAGCAGAAGGCGCACCATCAGGCAAAGATGTTTGGCCCATCTCTTCCCACCAGGAATTAAGGCCTGACCCAGAAGCTCCTGTAATGGCTTCATTTGTTGCTGGGAGTAATGCCTAGATGAAGTTCTGGAGCATGCTTCTTTTACATACCTTGAAGCCCCCATTGGCTTCTTTGAAAAGTAAAGGAGCATGAAAATGGTTCTTCACTCCCTTTTCCAGGAAGGTGTATGCACGTGCGCACAAACCAGGGAGCAGCACACTGCTTTGTGTAGGGAAGGCATCTTGCCCAGGGCCCCCCAGAACCTGGAACCGGCCCTGACTGTACTCCATACTCTCTATGGCTTCCTCTTTGTTCAGCCATATTGCAAGCTACAAGGTGGATGTAAGAGGGAGAAAATCAGTGGACCCCTTGGTCTTTTCATCTTGGGCAGAATCAAAGAAAGGGTTCCAGCTGCTTCCTGCCTTCTCCTTTACAACCCTATAGAACTGTCTCTAGTTTTCCCAAATGTGGATGATCTGCAGTTCCACACAGAACTAGGAAGGGAAAGGGCTGAGGACCAAAACAACTGCAGTACTCTGCATTGGTCTTCACAACTTTCTAGAAAGTGGAGCCTTCAGCCTCTTTTCTCTCCTTCATCACCTCTTCCCCCTTGGCTCATGTGTGATGGCAGCTGGCAGTGAGAGAAGGCAGCTTCCCAAAGTGTGATGTTGCTGTTGCACTTGTGTTTTCTAGGTAGAATTAATACTGTGAGAAGAGGGAAACCAAGGATAAGTTAATCATACCGTAGCCTAAAGAGCCATGGAAGTGCTAATGGACTACTGCCTGTTCCCCTAGGAACATCATGGCCCTCACATAACAGTCATGTTTTTTCCATGTTTAATTATTTTGCACTTGTCACAGGGCTGTGAGTAGGGGAGTCCAGTCCAGGACATCTGAAAAGCTCTAACCTGTGACAAATTCAAATATCAACAACACTTTCAGAATAATGAATTAATTTAATTTAAATACTATTTAATCAATCAATAAATTTGATAGCAGCAGAGGGTATTGTTTTTGTCTAGGCATTTGAATGACATTATCTGAATCCAATTTAAGATCTTTTTCAAGATTTACATAATAATAAATTAAACTGCAGTTAAAAAAACCACACCAATGCATTACCTGGCTAAAGGTCTCAGCAAGGTCTTCTTCGTTAATTCTTATTCTGCCCTGCGATCCTGTTCTGAATTCAATATTTTTAGCAGACCCGCTACAGAAAATTAAATTGCCATTTTCAGATGACATGCGAGGCCTGGGGAATCAAAAGGAAAAATGTGACACTCAATCAAACCTCCCAGTCCCTTTAATTTGTTTCATTTTACCACACATATGGGACAATGCATCACATGCAATTTTCATAATACGTATGAACACCAGTTTTTCTGAAACAGGGAACCCATTTATTTTCACCCTTAGTACACATGTACCAGAACTCTGATTTTTTTAGACAAAAGTGGTAATAATGTGTATCAAGAAGACTGTGAGTAGCATGTTCTTCCTGTACTTATAGTAAAATATGATGGCTGACAAAGGCTTATGTATCCACCACAGTCTAGCCTACCTTTTACCAAGGAACTCAGGGTAGAAAGCATAGTTTTCCTCTCCCTTTCCCCCCTTGAAATAGATTAGCCTAGGACAGAGTGACTACTCTAAGTTTCAACCTGTGGGCTTCATGAAAGAGTGGGGATTTGAACCCTATATCTTTCCTCTTCTAGTCTGACACTCTAACTACTACCACACACTGGACCTCAGTTTAGACTACATGAAATCACTGAATGTATTTTTTACCTATGACAGGGGGATGGGGTGGCCTCCTGCTGAGAAAGTCTAGCTGCACGTTATACCACCAGAATGGTACTCACTGTTCCTGGTAGAGGGTCCTTTTTTGTCTGTTTTTCTCAACAGATTCAGATCCATAGCTTAATCCAGAAATAATCAATAGTGGCACCAAAACCCAAGGAATGGAATCTGGACACACCATTGCTCACTTCCAGTCCTCCTGGACTGTGCAGTGAGCTAAAGTGAAATCATCAACTACCTTCAAGGATTAACCCTGGGTCAGGTGTACTTTGCTCCGGCAGGATTCTTTGCATATTCAGAGATGTGCCTGTTCAGCTTTCTTGCTGAAATGGGACTGAAGGCTGGTCCAAATATGTTTCACCTAGGGCATCAGGAAGATGTGATTTGGTAGCCAACCTGAACAGCAAGCTTGCCGGGTTCACTGCAGAGGGTATCCCTGGCATGACTTGCTCTGCAGCAGGATGCTGCCCTGCACTTGGTTGTGGGAAACACCCATTGACCCATAAGAATACAAAAGCTGAAATGGTGTCTTGTTCTGTCTAGTCAGGCGCCTCTTAAGATTCATTTAGATGACATGGTGAAAGGATGATCCCTTGGATCCCCCCAGAACTAGATTCCCATGCAAATGTGTTGTGTGAATAGTTCACATAATTTCAGGTGGGTAGCTGTGTTGGTCTGAAGCAGCAGAACAAAGTCTGAGTCCTTTAAGACCAACAAAGTTTTATTCAAGCTCTCACAACAAAACTCTTCACTCATGATTCTGAGAAGGGAAACAGATTTTCAAGAGTAGCTGCTTCTGTGTATTGCGTTGCAGGTAATTCCACTGCTGAACAACATGTTGTGTAAACAGGCACTTAAATGTATGAGTAATTGCACTTATAAAACCAAAAAAGGCAGAGGGTTGGAAAATGCTATTGTATTGTTCATGGGAAGGAAAAACTGGGGTGCTTAATGGGGAAAGTAACAGATGAAAGTAAAAGACTCACAGCGGCTAGATCAAAGGTCAATGAGAAATGCTGTGTTTAGCTCCCTATATTCCTTTTTTAAAAGTATATTTATTATGAACCTTTAAATGCTCTTTATTGCTGCCTATTTTGTTCTATGCGTGTATCTCCCTTATATATAAAAGCTGAATGGTGGTGGCACTTCTCTAGAACATTCCACATGCTCCGGAATTGGTTGGCGCCCTGGTGTGTCACTCAAAATCTGTCCATATCCACTGGCTGCATTGCTTGAGTCTTGCCTCCAACATTCTAAACAGATTGCTGTTCCTCTTCCCCCCATAGCCAGTCAGAACACAGAGGTTATTTGCATATGCAGTCTCATTGGCCTTTGCCACGGAATGCAGAGGTCGTTTGCATATGCGACTTGATTGACTTTTGCCTCTAGCATTCTAAACAGTTTGCTGTTCTGAAGTAAAATGTGTCCAATCTCCAGGTGAGGGATGGAGATCACTCAGAATTACAACTGCTTTCCAGATGGCAGAGATCAGTTCCCCTGGAGAAAATGGTGGGCTCTGTAACCTTATATGCTGCAGAGGTGGCCCCCGTATGACAGCCAATGTGACGTAGCAGTCAGGGCTTCAGAGCATGGGAGAGGCTGCAGGTGTGTGGGGGGTGGAAAGCTGAAGAGTGAGGGGGAAATAAAGGTAGGTTGATGATTGGCTGGGAAGGAGATAGGGTTGCCAACTCCAGGTGGGAAATTCCTGGAGATGTGAGGGATGGAGCCTGAAGAGGGTGTGGTTTCAGGAGGTGTGGGACCTTGGACAGGTACAAAGCCATAGACTCCACCCTCCAAACCAACGATTCCCTTCTGGGGAACCATCGTTGCCAATCTCCAAGTGAGGGCTGGAGATCACTCAAAATTACAACTGTTCTTTAGGTAGCAGAGATCAGTTCCTCTGGAGAAAATGGTGGACTCAGTGTCATTATACCCTGCTGAGGTCACCACAGCAAATTGACACTGAGTGTCCAAGGCTGGGGCACCCGCCCAGAGCCTCTTTCTAGAGATCGTTGTATTTATTTCCACAACGGGCCTTTTTCCTAGTACATATATAAAGATACATAAATTATTTCCTTTTGAACTTGTGTTTTGTAGGTCTTTGTATCCACGGAAACTATTCACAGATATGCCAAGTGCATAGCTGAGTACAGAAAAGGAGTAGCATAAACAGGCTGATTTCCTGAAAGGAGACGTCTCCCCCAGACAGGTGCCTGGATTCTTGTTTGTTTTGTTCTCAGAGCATAGCTATTGGCCTGTATAAATTCTGTGCACCCCTTGGCCCTTCAGACTCTGCTGACAGGTCCAGAACTGCACAGGGATGCCACTGGTACACACTGCCAGAGATCATTCACCTCTGTTAGGAGTCTCCACAACGGACCTTTTTCCTAGTCTCTTATATATACATTTCAGCAATTCAGTTAACAAGAAAACATTCTAAACACATCTCCAATTACAAAGCTTCAAAGTATAATCCAACAATTCCTCAATATACAATACACTTATGCACTTAGTATACACTGTCCATAAGTCCTTGAAGTCAGACAACAGTCCCTCTAGAACAAAACAGTCCACTAAGTTTCTCGTGGTCTGTGTTATTTTCCTTCTCCAACAAGATCCTGGTAATTTCTTGTTTCGCATAATCTCTTCTTCAAGAAAGTTCATCCACTATTTTCTAATAGTCATAAAGTGTTTCCAAGGCTGTTATCACAAAATGGACTTCTCCCAACATGGAGGACACCAGATATATATGATCTTTATTATGATTTCTCCATACATTCAAATGTATGAGTACCTGCACTGATTAAAAAAAAAAAAGAGGCGGAGTATTTGAAAATGCTATTGTATTGTTCATGGGAAGGGGAAACTGGGATGCTTAATTTGGAAAGTATTCAGAAGTAATAGTGTCAGAAGACAAAGATGGGATGATAGTTAAAGGAAAATATAATAGACTGAATAACAGAGGAAAATGAACCAAGGAACTTTCTGTTTGAAATAGGGGAGATGTATTTGAGTCAGGGATGATGACAGCTGGAAGGCTGAATGGTCAAAGTGGGTTGAGAAGCACTGACTTAAGGAACGGAGGCAAAGCGCTTGGGGAATGGTAATAGTGAAGGCAGATTCAGGTGGGTAGCCATCTTGGTCTGAAGCAGCAGAAAATACGTAAGTTCAAACCCAGTTGCACCTTTAAGACCAACGTTTTATTTATACAGTCAGTGAAGGCAGCGATTGGAATCAAGCTGAGAAAAATGGTGAGATTACTTTAATGAACATTTCCACACTCTCATGAAAAGTACCTCTTCGGTAGTGTGGGGGGGGGGGTCTACCAAGAAAGGAAAAACTATTCAAAGAACTTCCTGTTTCCTCAACACTCACACCGAGGTTGTGTTCACCCTGGGTTTTGGGTCCAGCTTTGGTGCTATAGGGAAGCAGGGTTTCTTTCCCGCTTCTGCACAGCACTGCGG